GAGCACTATACGACCTTGTCCTGTTCGACTGTACGCAATCGTTGCTCGGTGTAGAGCCGCTTTCGTCTAGATTAGCAATACGAGAGGCATCTAAATTATGCACATGAACAAGCCGCTCTAATTCCGCGATGTGGGCCGTCAGATTATCGGCATTGGTTGCCTGCCAGCGAGCTTCTTCCTCCTTACAGGCCCTTCCAAACTTAATTTTGGCACTGTGCCGTTTTGAGAGGAGTGACAAAAACTTGCGTCCCGGACGCCCATCAATAAAGGGAATGGCTTTTCGGCGCTCCTCGGGGAACGAGTGCACCATCAGTTGTACAGCGTCGCCTACATCTGACCGCTTGAGAGGGAAGGTGCTCTGGGAGTATGAAAGGACGAGGTTAACAATGAGCTGCTCTTCACATAACGATAGATATGTACGTGATTTTGTCAACACATTTCGGCGCGAGAATCGATATTGAAACGTTGCCAAAGGGAGTCGTGCCAGTTGAGCAGCCCTGCGCCGAGTTGCACCATGCCTTTCAATCGCAACAATGGCTTGGTTGAAGTAGACCTTTTCTTTTTTTTCGCGGCTTGTCTTTTTGGTCATTGTGTGTTGGGGTGGGTGTGAAGGGAGACGGATCGAGCTCCATGGTTTTAATTTGCACAAAATTATGCACCAAAGTTTGCATCAAGGGGGCAATAAGGGCGCCAAATCGGATTCTGCTGTTGAAATGGCGGGAAATGCATTTGTGGTTGATTTACGACACCGTCAGTCGACGGTTTTCACTCAAAAGTTGTCATGTTTATTGGTAAAAGCAGAATCGGAATAAAATTAGGCATACTATTTTTGTTCAAGTGAAGGGTGCTCTGTTCGAGAAAGGGGGGCATGCACGGGTAGATGGTTCGGCGAAACGTGTTCCGTATCGGCAAAGGTATTCAGCATCAGCTGGCTCGGGTGCTCGTCCTCCCGTGCGTGTCCTCCTTTTCTTTTCTCTGACTAGCTCTCGTCTAAGCTGTATAAATACCTAGGCTCGCTCTCGTTTCTTTCCGTTCGGCGCATCGTCATGCGCCTCATTGCACATCTCTTCCGTGCACTATCTCCTCCGCGATCCTTGGCTTCTGCATTTGCCCATGATCCTTCCTATTTCCGATTCAATGTCGCACTCCTCTCCCGCTGTCTGCTTCCTCTCTATATGTGTGTGTTCTCTCATACGCCCACCCTAATCTATGCTGGTGACCCTTCCGGCTCAATACACATAGGCCATAAACATTGTATTCACCCAAAGTGCAACTCTGCATTAAAACGCCACACCGCTTACACATGCACAACAGTCTAAATATTCACCACATTACAGTGCACACTGAAAGTACAAGAACACCATTGAAACCTTGACCTTACACAAAAATACGAAAGATATGATCATGAAAAGCAGCTCAAACGAAAGGGAAGAGAAATAGTGTACAGAAACTGTAATCGTTTTTATAGTTTCGTACTTGTACAGTGACTTATCTTTAAAAAACTAAATACAACCGCACTGTAATTATAAGGACAAACAAAAAGTGCAATCAAAACCCTTCTTTATTTCGATCTCAATGAGACGTGCGGCCGACATTCTTCCGCATACAGCAATGCAACGGCTCTGCGTCGATCCAACGAGATTCTCAAGAATACTGTGGTCGATATTGGGCGCTTCCTGAAACTATTTTTGTGCAGTACACATTTTTTGACACATTTCTCAAAATCTGGAAATGTGCACCCGTTTTACTCCTGAAACTCGTGTGCGCAAATTGCTCCCCGGACTCACGAGCAGTAATTTTGCTCGTAGTCAATGGCATCAAAGGGCTGTGCGAACGGGTCGCGAAACCGACCGGGATATGCCTGAGCAGGGATGCCTCCCTCATCTGCGCTACTGCTGCTGCTGCTGCTCCGAAAAAGAAGTAACCGTAAGCGCTCCCTCACGTTTCGCGCAAAAATGGCCTCCGACGGCAAACGCCGCCGGGATCGCCGTATACCTCGTCCCTCACTTCAAGCGCCCCATATGTCCGCCTTTGCATTTCTGTTCGGTTCTGCCAATGATCAGGCCCTCATCACCCTCACAGGGCTTGATTTTCACGCGTTTCACTATCTCCTCCCCTCATTCACTAATTTCTACAATGCCTATTCCCCTTACGGCCGCCTGGGCCACATTAGGGGCCTTTCACAACGCGAAAACAGGGTGGGGCGACCGCGCAGTATGACTCCCACACAGTGTTTGGCATTAGTGCTGAGTTGGAACCGAACAAGAGGTTCTGAGATGGTCCTTTGCCTGCTCTATGGAATCACAGCGTCTGTGGCGTCGCTTTTTCTACGATTTGGGCGTCGTATCCTTCTCAAGATTTTGGCTAATGATGATAGAGCTGCGATCAAAATGCCATGTTTAGACGATATAGCATCATTTCAGGAAACAATTGGTTCTAGATATTCCATGTTACGTGACGTTTTCTGCGTTGCTGATGGCTTAAAGCTCACCCTCGAACAATCCGGAGACTTTGTCATACAAAATATGTTTTACAACGGCTGGACCCATGATCACTACGTGGGCAATGTTTTTGTTTTCGCCCCTAGCGGTGTCATAATCGCATGTGCTCTGAACGCCCCCGGATCTATGCATGACTCTGTCATTGCGGATTGGGGCGGGATTTATCCCAAATTGGAGACCGCCTATAATCAGTGTGGTGGTCGCTGTGTTGTGGATTCTGCATTTTCAAAAGGACAATATCCTTTTCTCATCAAGTCCTCTCAAGACGCCTACTTCAGCAGCTCAGGTGACCCGTGCATTTACACACAGCTCAAACAAGCCACTTCCCTCCGCCAGGCGTCCGAGTGGGGCATGCGCGCTCCTCAAGGTACTTTCCCACGACTGAAGGACAGGTTAATTTATGAAGAGAATGGTGAGCGTAAGGTAATTTTACTACCAGCTGTCCTGATTTTTAATCTACGTACTCGGCTGGTGGGGATCAATCAGATTCTCTCCACGTTCATGCCCCATCTCAGCGTCGAGGCAAACTATTTTCTGTCTCAGGATATTGGTTTGTAAATGGAACGGGTCCAATTCCCTACAGAAGGCGCTCTTGTGACTACAGGTGAGTGGCAGGGGACTCCACTATAAAGCCACTATGCCGCCTGGCATCGTCTCTCACACCTGCCGCCTCCTCATCATCCTCACGAGCTTTCGCATTCGGCCGCCCGGCCACCGCCGCCTTACACTTACCTTCTCATTGTTGACTTCGTGGGGGAGGCGGCGTTGGCTCAGAGCGGTGATTGCGATTCCCGAGGGCCATCATCATCATCATTTCCATATATTTATCGTGCCTTTTCTCCTCCCGATCTCTCCTTATTTTCTCATCCTCGCGGTCCTGTAACCTCCTCTTGTGCTCCTCAGCCCGACGCTTGTGGTCTTCAAGCATGGAGAGCTTGTAAATTGAGATAAGGTCGCTTTCATCCTGACTAGGCGTAACAGAAGATGCCCTTCTACGGACCAAAGGGCGTGGGGATGGCGTGGCTCTTTCTGGTAAATTCCGTGGGAGGAGAGAATTTTCACCTTGTTGAGGAGCGGCATCCATATGCAAACTTTCAGCGTTCTCTGCTGCTTCCACCACATTATTTCTGGTTGTTGATTCTGTTTCAAAGCTACTGTCGGCGATTTCGATTGCGTCGTCACCATCTCCAAGATCAATTCGATCAGTCATGTCGGCCCTGATGCGCTTGGCTCTCTGAACGTCGGGTGGAATGTGGGGGTCTCCGGTCGGGATTTGTTTTCTGTACAGCGCCGAAAATTTTCTCTTGAGAGAATCCGCATTTCGATCCATCTCCGGGAACCGCTGAGAATGCATTCTTTGAACCTTGTCCCACTCCTCCTTCCCGACGGGGAGTTTTTCCTGCAACAAATCCAGCATAGAATCAATTTCGCGCTGCGTAAAGCCATTTCCCCTTCCATTTCCATTTGTGTTCCTTCCAGGGCGCGAATTCCCTCTTCGTTTGGATATAGGATGACGAGGTGCGAGACGAGGTTGTTGCGCAGGAGTGCTGTAAGTTCGAGTACGGAGGGCACTACGATCTTCGTTTGACTGCGTCGCTCGTGGTCGCACTTCCTCTAAACTATCTTGAGGCTGACAGGGTAGCCGGGGTGTTTGAGCTAGATCGGAGGAAGTAGTTGGGTGACCTTGTAGCACAACAGCGCCGGACGAACTGAGAGAAGCAGAGGCGTCGAAAGGGGACGGCGATCGCGGGTTGACATTTCGGGCGCAGAGGAGGTGGGGTCCGTAGGGAGCGAGATGCACCTGTCAGCGGAGGATGATACAGCGCTTTGTCGCTCTCACTCCCTCCAAAAATGCGATTTGGGCACGTTGCACAATTGCCTCGTCCGTGGTCGAGCCTATACCAGTTTTGTCATTGTGTATACACAAATAACAGTGAATGTACACAAAAATGGTGATTTGTGTACACACAATTTGTGTATTTTGGGTTTCAGGAGGGGCCCATTCTGCCAGCAATCGACAATAGCCCCAAACAGCTCTATAGTATCCTGATACTGCCTCCAATTTCCATACACACTCTTTGCTAAGATCCCCATAAATTTTCGATGGGATCGAGGTCTGGTGAACGCGAAGGCCACGGTAAAACAGTAACGACATTGTACGTAAACCACTTCTGGGTATAAAAAGAACGATGTATAACGGCGTTATCTTGCTGATATGTCCAATTCTCACCATGCGTCACCGCCGCAAACGGTAGCAAATCGTCCTTAAGTAGTTCACAGTACTTTGCGGAATCCTGTTTCCCATACATTATTACTAAATTGTTCCGTCCGTACTAAGAGAAGCAAGACCAAATCATTAAAGAATCACCTCCATGGTGACGTCTGCTTAAAACTTTTTTGCCTTTCTTAAGTGATGCCAATAGTAATGACAACCGTCCGGGCCATCTAAATTGAACTTCTTCTCGTCAGAAAAATAAGTTTGTTCCATTTCTCATTATCCTAAGTTTCATGATTTTTAGCCCAGCCTAGTTGTTGTGGCATATGCATCGGAGTGAGGATTGGAGCACTTATAAAATTGGCATACTTTAGATTAATATATTTCCTCAAAAGATCTTGTACGCGCGACCGGTAGACCGGTAAATCGAGTGCCTTGCGGATCTGATTGGCCGACTTTTCTCCTTTAGAAGCCTCCCTTATTACCTTGCGCATTAAAACGGGTGTTAGTTTAGGAGGCCTTCCACTCCTCTTTTTAGATCCATATGCCTGCGGATTCTTTGTAGAGTTGTGCACGACGGTCTTCGATCTGTTGATGGACTCTGCGATCTCTCGGACAGACGAACATTGGTTGTGGAGAACGAGAATTTGACCTTTTTCCACGTCTGTCAATTGCTTCCCTTTCGGCATGTTGAATAACTAGATGGTGGGCATCGGTTGGCGGGGATGGCCGGCCATGTTCGAGAAGATAGTACTGTAGCGTTTTGGTTGCGGGAAAAATGGTTTACTCTGCTACGTTATCGGCAATCGTGTACTGTCGTTATAATTACAGTGCGGTGGTATTTAGTTTTTTAAAGATAAGTCACCGTACAAGTATCATACCATAAAAATGATTGCAGCTTCTGTACACTCTTTCTCTTCCTTTTCGTTTGAGCTGCTTTTCATGATCATATCTTTCGTATTTTTGTTTAAGGTCAAGGTTTCAATTGTGTCCTTATACTTTCAGTGCGCACTGTATGTATGACAAGTTCGTGCAAAATGCAACGAACTAATCCGTTGCTTAGAACGAGCCTCAGTCCTCTCACTTGCGCACCGTAGCTTTGCCTTTCATTGTGAGCAACTGCGCTCGCGCTCGCTTGAACCCGCTGCCCTCGAGCGGCGGGTAAGTTCAAAAAGCACCGATTTATTGCTCCCACTGATCTGGAATGAGCAGAGTGTTACAAACCCGAAAGTCACGGGTGTCCCTAAACTTTCAGTGCGATCTGTACAACACAGCAAGGTGTGTCGTCGAAAGGGGCCTTGTGCTTCGCGTGCGCTGCTCTCTGTACGATCAGAGAGCGGGATTGGCGCGCGGAAAAGGGGGGGAAAGGAGAAAGGATAGTATGAGAAGGGAAGTAGAGGGGGGGGTGAGTGATCCGGCGTTGCGCCTTCAGGGGTGAGAACGGGCTCCGGCTTGTGCCTTCGCAGACTAGAGTAGCGTAGAGTTGCTTGCTCGAGTTGTTTATTGTTCTACGTCGGGGGTGGGAAGCGCGGACGTGCGCGTAGTACATATAGGTCCACGTAAGCTTGCCGTCTGCGGGGACGGTAAGCTTACAGCCCATGTTTTGTAAGCACGCGGGATATCAATATCCAAACTGTGCATCCACAGTTTGGATGGTGTTATCATATCAAATACGCCGTACAGTATATATGCGCGTGCGCGACGAGGTGCGTCAGTTTTTCCGTTCCAACCGTTCATCTTGAGTGCCTTCGTTTGCATTACAGTATGATCATTCCGTGCGCAAATCGAGTCTCCTGTCCCGAGATCAAGTGGACAAATGAGGCAACGAGCAGAGGGAGTGCCACCATGCGGGCATGTACATTTCCGTAGGTAGACAGGCAACGTGCCTAGTAAGCTCGCTTTTCAATTGAAAAGACACACAATGAAGTTCTTATGAGACAGTCGCAAGAAGCGCCCTCTGACAAGATTGGTCACCTATAGCGCATCAAGGCATCGAAGCTCACGATACAAGGCAAGTACTATTGCCGTCACTCTGCGCGAAGTGGTTTGGTTTGGTAGTACTGTCTCGAAAATGGCGAAACTTTTGTAATGCTGCTGGTCAGCGCTGCGTGACAAGAAAGTCATGGGGGCGGTCTTGCATGCCCAAACGTAACACAGCTATTGAAATCAAGCTGACCAAAGCCCTTCTGATCCTTTCTGTGCAATCGCGAAAATGTTTACATACAAATTGTTAACTGGTTTCTGCCTACTTGTAAAGACACGTGCTTTCAGTCTAGACACTACTTTCTACTTTCTAAAAACCTAGAGGGGCGACCGCCAAACGTCACGTGTCTGATGTTGAGTCCTTCCCCCTACATCAAGCGCCCGATTTTCACCCCCTTCCCAGACGAGAGAACCGTCTACGCCATCTGCTGCAAACTTGTAAAAGGTTGATACATCTCCTGCAATTAAAACATCGCACTTTCTAATTACGCCTGTCCGGCCCGTCGACACCACTCGCATTGGTAAGCGCCGCGATGGTTCCCAATTCCCAAGAGTAGAGTCCCCCCCTAAGATGTACACGATTATATCAGCACTGGGCACTGTCGCTCCTTCAAGTGTGAAAGTCACTGCACACAGCGATTTCGAAGCCGTTGCACCGCCGTACCGCGACCCTGCCTCATTCAGTCGCGCCCGAGCAGCGGCATAATCAGCCATGGCCGCCCCACAGTCACGTTCGGCAACATCTCGCTCCCTCCTTGCCTCCTCGAGCTGTGTCTGCAGTAGATCGATTCTCTGGCTCGAATCTTTTTCAGCAAGAGCCAAGCGAGATGAAACCATCTCTGTTGCCCTCTGTGCCTCCAACGTTGACTCTGCGAGGGGTTCCAATTTCTGCGCTCTCGTTTGCCATGCCTTCACATTCTCATTGGCTGCAGCTAGTTCAGCCTCGGCCCTTCGCAACTCAACCAAGAGATATCCAGTCTCTGACCTCACTTTTGATACCTCCATGGCAGCGTTCTTGTCGCTCGTGCCTCTGGCATCTCGCTTACTGTTTTCCTCTGCTCGTAGTCGCGCCACATCGAGAGTAAGGGACTCTACAGTTCTCTGTGATGCACAAAAGTCTCGTTCATATTTCTTCAACTCTTCTTGCAAAGATTGACATCTGGCGTGCACCCGCGACACTTCCAAATCTCTCACTTGCAATTTCTCTTTGCTTTGACGCATCTCATCGAGCATTGCGACAACGTTAACCTCATTGCCGCCTTCCGCAGCCATCATTCCTTTGACCTTTTCAAGTTCCAGATTCGCTTCTTCTACTTGGGACTTTAATGTCGCAACGCGAGAGTGAAGCTCTGAATTCTCCACACTTTTGGCACTCTCAATCTCGCGGATATGAGCTTCTTTTTGAGAAATAGACTCGTTCGAACGAAGAAGCCGTGCTTCTAACTTTTTGAAGGCAGTTTCGGAGACCTCAAGATCTACAGCTTGTTCAGACAGCGCCTTTTCAGCGGCATGCAGCTTACCGTTGATGAAACAACACCAGTTGTGCAAATTGGCAATAGCTTTCTCTTTCGATTCTAGCTTTGTCCGCATTGAAAGAATTTCACCCTGCGCAATATTAGCGGTCTTCGCCCCCACCTCATCAACACGAGATCGGGCGAGAGCAAGGGCCTGGTTTCGGTCGTGAAGGTTTCTTTCTAGTTTTTCAATTTCATGTTCGCGCTCATCCATCTTCTCTTGCATTTCCGCGAATGTTCTTTTGAAAACCAGGAGAGACTCATTCTTCGATGCCAACTCGTACTCAGCAGCCGTAAGTCTCTCGAATAATCGATCTCCTCTAGTTCGCGACTCAATGAGCTGCTCTTTAGCAAACTGTCCTTGGACAGAATTATGAGTGATTACTTCCGAAGCGGATGATAGAGACGACTCCTTACCATCCAAAGCCGTTTGCAGTGAAGCATTCGCTATTCTCAAACTCTCTATCTCGCCGGCCGTCGATTTCTCAAGATCTTTAAGCTTGGCAGCCGTAGCGTTGAGGGCCTCATTGACCAAAGCGCGAGCCTCTTCTGCAGCGGTAAGTTCTTTCTGAAGCTCGATGTTGGCAGCTTCAAAAGTGGAGGCTTCATTATCGTAGTGCTTGGTCTCCTCAGTCTGGCTGGCCACCTTTTCACGCAAACTTTGCATGATTTGTTCCATTTCTTCAATTCGATTATTTGACTGGTCCAATTCCTCGCATTTGGTCCCCAGTACAATTTCTTTCTCTCGATACTCCTCAAGCAATGTATCATGTCCATTAAGGTGTGATTCAAGGACTTGCAGCTGTTGCTTAGAGCGTTCGAGCGCTATTTCCAATTTCTTTACGGCCTTCGAAGAGGACTTTATTTCTTCCTCTTTCTCGGACACAATACTTTCCAATCGCATCACATCGCACTGAGCTGTGGACAGGCGCTTGTTCAGTGTTTCTGTTTCCATAACCTTCACAGATAGCTCCTCTTCTGCGTGCGCCAGATCTACAGACACTCTTTCAAGTTGCTCTCCCAACTTCTGTTCGCCATGAACGTGAGTCTTACAACGTGCTTGTTCACTCGTTAGTTGAGATCGCACATCAGCAACTCTCTTCTCCAGCTCATTTTTGCTTGCTCGAAGTCCAGCAATTTGAGCTCCCTTTTCTGTGATAGATTGCAAATGATTAGATATTTGCCGATCTCTGGCAACCAGCTCTTCTTGAGCTGCTTGTGATTCAGCTCTTAATCGAGAGATTTCGTCTTGCAGTTGAGCGAGCTTTGTCTGCTGGCGTTTGCAATCACCTATAATGGTGCTATGCTGACGCTTGGCCTGGACCAAGTCATGTTCAGTCCTAGCAAGCTCAGAATTAGCATGAGCAAGCTCATCATTCAGAAACTTTGTCCGTCGTTCCGTTGATCGCATGTCTTGCTGCAATGTCTTGATGTCCCCGTTCTGATTTCTAATGACTCCACGAAGTTCAGCGACGTGAGAATCAAACAATGACTCACGATTACAAGCAATTTGAGCCTGTTTCTCAAGGGCCTCCTTCGTTACAGTAACGACGTTGTTCAGTTGCAGAGCTTCTTCTTCCCTTTCTGCAAGTTTGGCTGTCTTCTCCACCATGTGTTCCATCACAGATATATGACTGCGTTCCAGTTTCTTGCTTCGTTGCTCCATTTCTTCCAGAAGAACGTCCCCACGCACTGCCCTTCCCTCTGCAACAACTTGGCGCTCGCAGGCTTGGGACAACGCTTCGCGTAGCTCTTCTGCGGTTTGGATGGCATCCATGGCCGCCTGTTCTTGTGTTGCTACGCCGCTCTCGCACTCCGTCAAGCGTGCTTGAAGGACAACTAATGCCTGTTGTCGATGTTCGCACTGACTACTCAAATCTTCGATTACGGAAAGATTTCTCTGCTTCTCCGCTGATAGCGTACTGATTTTGATTGCAAGGTCGGCTCCATTCTGCTCCGCCATGGAAAGCTTGTTCTGTGTTTCATTTAAGGACGTCGTAGTGTTGTGAAGGCATTTGGATAGGTCACCGACTCGCTGTTCTAGAGCAGCTCTTGTTTTCTTCGATGCTTCCAACTGCAAATCGCACTCATCCCGAAGCGCTTTCATCTCCCCTGTTCGTTGGTCAAGGATAGAGTTTGCTTGTAGGAGAGACGGTTCCAACTCAAACCTGATGCGGTTCTCCAAGAAGTCGCACTCTTCGCTTCTGGAGGATATTTCCGATTTGAGTGTCCGGACAGATTTCTCCATAGAATTCGCTCTTGCCATGGTCTCCTCAAGTTGCCTATGTTTCTCATCAGACGAGTTTCGAGAAACAAGCAATGCTCTGTTCAGCGTAACAATCGTCGTTGCATTATCCGATACTGAAGAAGCTAGTGCCTGGGCTTCGAGACACTTTTGCTCATAGCTCGACTTAGCAACCCTTACAGCTTCCTCCAGCTGGCAGACCCTTTCCGTAGCTTCACAATCTGTCATGTTCCTCATGTTCATCCTAGGTGTGCTATGCTGTTCGTCCAAGCCAGCATCAGTTGAGCAAGGAGATGAATCACCAGGATGTACTGTCGGATTAGCACGAGCCGCAAGGATGTTCTCCAGGCGCTTGACCTCCTTTTCTGAAACGCTCAACGCAGACTTGAGATTCCTTATCTCTGCAACAAGCTCGTCTTGACGAGATTGAACAATGAGTTGCTGCTCTTCTGCCATTTCGCTCTCATGGTCTTTGCACTCGTCCGACTGCCTTAGCTTTGCCCTCATGGCCGCCAACTCATTTTTTGCTTTCGCTAAATTCTGTTCTGCATGATTCGCTCTTTCTAGCAACAGTTTGTTTTGTTCGGTGTGCTTAGCAATATCGCCATCCTGTCGTTTGACTTCCGCAGAGAGCTTCGAAATATCCTTGCTTGCTGCTCGTACGACCATTTTTGTCTCTTTATCTTTATCCACTCTTGTCTGAGCTGCTGCGTTGAGCAATAAGAGCTGAGCTTGCATCGGTCCTAGTTCCTGTTTCGTTTCACGAAGGGCGTCTTCGGCATTCTTCGCATGCTGCTCAGAGACTTTATATGCGAATACTGCTTCAAGCTCTCGACCCTCCGCAGTTTCAACCTTTTCTCTCATCACACGAACAGTCTTGTCTTTTTCGCGGATGACGTTTCTAGCTATCTTGAGTTCGAAAAGCTTTCTCTTGATAACCGCTTCGTCAAGTTGTTTCACATCTACCGGTTCCTCTTCGGACAAAAAACTAATTTGGGTCGCATCCTTTTCGTTTTCCAGATCTTTGATGCGGCTACGTAGAGCTGGGATGTTTGCTACGGTGCTGTTGAGAGCCTTCACTCGAGCGCGTTCATCGCGCAGTTGTTTCTCGATGACATGTGCGGATTCGTCCTTCTCTTTCAACATCTTTTCCAAGATTCTTTCACGATTGTCATTATCGCTTTGCTCTTGTTTCGCCTTTGCGTGCTTTTTCGATTCAAGTTGCTTTCTCATGCCCTGATTACTTTCTCTCAGCTTTTCATTCTCTTCCAGAACCTTGTTATGGTGGGATAGATTCTGTTTGAGTGCTTCTGCTTGGTCTCGGAGGCCTTGTTCCCTCTTTTCTACTTCATCTTTTTGCGCAGTGAGGCGTTGAATTTCAGAGTCACGGCCTCGAAGGCTGGCCTCTGTCTCCTTCAGTCTATCAGAGAGGTCACTCCGGTCAGTTGCATTCTCCAAAGTTTTCGCTGTGGCTGCCAGCTTTCGCTTTGCAACTCGAGCAAGGGCGCGCTCGTTAGAAACCAAGACCTTCAGCGACTCGATGGAAGACACCATCGCGTCCCGCGACAGCTCAAGCTCTCGGACTTTTGCAAGCGCAGCGGTAAGGGGCCCATCTTGCGGGGCGGGCGTGGGCGCCACGGACATACCGGCGAAGGCAGACTGGAGAGAGTTAGCGAGAGAGAGAGGGGAACGCGGATGTTGATGGGAAGGTGCCATCCCCAAGTCGATAGCCTGGTCAAGGCTAGCGTGGTCAGGGCTAGCGACGTTCTGGGGCTTGTGGAGACATTTGCGGTGATGCCGCATGTGACGAGTGATCAGAGTCAGTTCTCTACAGTACTGTGCAAGACGCCAAGTGTTGCAAATTTATTTGCGGATGCTCCGAGGTGGAGCGGGGACAGTGCCAAACCTGTGGTTCCCGTGGCACTACAATCTTTTCTTTAATTTTGTGTGGATGTATCTCGAAGTGTTGATATATAGTTTCTCTTCTTCTTATTGGATTGTTCTGATGCAAAACATGTGGCTAAAACTCATCCCGGTGGTGTACAGTAGTACACGCATCATAACAAAAAAGTTCGCTCCAGTATTTTTGCCTTACCCGGGAAAATATTGAACTTAAAATTCACAAAAATAGATCCGATACGCAGTCCTGATTTTACCACAACTGTAACAGTTGTGGTAAAATCAGGACAGGCTGTTGAGTGCTGGTAATTAAATACACGCAGTGGCGTGTATGTCTGCATGAGCAGTTTGCGTTTACATTGCGACCTCCGGGAAAGAGGGGAAAGGTCGAGTGGTTGAATCGTAGATGAGTGTAAGCTCGACCTTTGGGAATATCAGAAAGAAAACGAGCGCAGACGCGTGGAGTGCAGAATGCTACGGTCGTGGGGAGAGAACCAACTAGCGGGACGCTGGAGAATCAGCGGGATGCTGGAGGACCAGCAGGATGCTGGAGAGTAGCGAGATGCTGACTATATAAGAGAGAAGTGGTACAAGAAGGTTCCCCATATATTGGAACAGGTACCCAATTATGACAAGACAAAAATGGCGTATTTTAAGCCAAATCTAGATTGCCATCTCAAAGAAGGCCAGAACTCAAGTTTACAGAAAATGCAGTCATGCCTCTGTCCACCAAATGCCGGAACCACGTAGCCCATTTGATAGCGCAGACTGTAAGCTTTCCATACATATAAAAAAGGCGGACGTCTTCCTTGTTCCTCCAAAAACCGGGCTTTCAAAGAAGTTGATGCACAAAAGCATGTATTCCCCAGCCACAAAAACCCTCCAGGTGCTTATCCCTTATTGTTCCACACCCCCTCACCTCTTCCCCATACCGAACATCCGTCTGGGACACCAACCAACATGGGAATCGCGAAGAACCGGTTAGCACGCTCTCAACGCCTCAAACGGCAGGCCTTCATTGCGGTTCAAAAAGGCGGGGCGTCATTTCGCACTGGAGCTTTAAATTGCCGGATGGCATTGTCCACTTTTCACCGCCATTACCACACATATTCCACTCAAACAATTGCCAATCCTGTTCCCGGGCAGGGATGCCGACCCGCACTAAGGGGTGAGGAAGAAAACATTATTGTCGAAACTCTCGTAAAGTACGCACGACGTGGATGTGGGATAACTCCTCTCCGCCCCGGGTTGGGTGAGAGGCGGATTCTATAGCGAGGGAGCATGCAGCGTGGACGCCACGCGCTAATTGAACAAATCGGACAAGCTCGCGAAAAGGGAGTGGCTCACTGGCCGGTTACGGGCAGTCGCTCCGTGGTGCGTGAACGGGAGCGACCGGTAACGGGTTAGAAGCCAGCGCGCGCGATATACAACCAAAACGGACGTATATAGGCGCGAAAGGGACGGGGGCGAGCTTGCCCCAGTTTACCGGTAGGGACGGGTGTCAGGTCTTAACCCCTCAGAGGGACGCCTCGGACACCTGTCCCAGTACAGTAGTACAGTACCTGCCGCGTAGTGCGTACCAGGTACTGTACGCCATTAAAAAACTAGCGCCTCAATTCCTACTTACCGCACGGACGCTGCAGCTACACGTGTGTACCACTGTACACACGCGCTGCTTACAGACTACCGCACGGATGCCACGTGTGCTAGCGTACACGCGTAATACTAACAGACTACCGCTTGGCTGGCACGTGCACTACTGTACACGTACGCCAGATTACGACCGCTCGGCACGCGCGCGTTCCCTACACGTGGGCACACCCGCCCACGTGTCCACCGTGCACGGCCGCACTGTTAATAATCTCCCCGCTCGCGCGTCCGTCGTTATACTACAGTGGATACCCCCTTTCGCGAGAAGACCTCTTAGACTGCGTTGAACTATTCTGTCAAACTTTTAGCGTGGAACGGAGAGCAGCTCTGCCGTTTTTGAACGGTCGTCCTTCGAAAAAATATGCCAGCGGCTTCGAGGCTCGTCACAAAAACCGGATCAAGTTCGGAAGAGTGACCGGCCAAGAAAGCAAACGACTTTCCTCTACAAACGCAAACAACTTGACAACCTACTTTGTTGAGATCGAAGCTGTCATAAAAAATAACAACATTGACCCACAAAGAGTGGCAAACCTGGACGAATCTGGATTCAGTCCAGATAGAGACAGGCTAGGGTCGACCAAACGGAAGGACTATGGCACGCGCTCTACAAAGCTTGAGAGCAAGCTTCCTGAGTTTACCTACAAAAGCCGAATAACGTCGATGCCGATTGTTTTTGCGGATGGAAGCTACGCCAAACCAGTTTTTATTTTCAAAGGTAAAAAGCTACAGTATCGAGTCATTGAAAAAGACGTACTCGAGATGATAGAGACAATTGCAGACTGCTTACCGCGACTCAGCCGTGTTCTTATGCGTGTGGAGGGAGGAGGAGTAGACAAGCAAGTGTTTGTGAACTGGGCAAGGCTTTTCGTAGATGAGGTTGCAGACTTCACTCGTGACGGCCGCAGGGTATTGCTTCTGTACGACGGTTACAGAAGCCATATGTCCTATGAAGCCCTAAAAGTCCTCGATGATGGGAATGTGATTGCCTTTGCAATACCAACACACACAAGTGGCACCACGCAGCCACTTGATGTGGGCGTGTTTGGTCCATTTTAAGCAACAACCAACCGTCTATTGAATGAGATGTCCCCTACATTGGAGAAAAATGTATTCGACGTCTTTGATTTTTGCAAAATAATGAGAGAAGCATACTTTCTTTCCTTTACAATGCGAAATATCACTCAGGCGTTTGCTAAATGTGGCTTGTGTCCGCTAGATCCCGGAAGGGTGTTAGGCACGTCGAGGCCATTATCCGAAAGCTGTCCATCGGTTTTTAAGAATGCAGATGACATGGCCATAATGTTGGAGGAGAGGAGAGAGAAGAGGAGGGAAAGACAGGGAGTATTACCGTGGTTTTTAAAAGGGGTTTGTGGACACGAGGGTAGGCTTGCAGTTAACATCACCGGATGTCATGCGTGCAATTTTCTTCAAGGAGGACATGGAAAGGGGGAGGAGAGAGGCGAAGTTTGTGAAGTCAGTTACGAGCGAGGCCAAGTTTGCTATTGAATCACGCCGTAGGCGTGCAGATCGTCGTCAATTGGAACACAGCGCTGCACTGTTGCGCTCATCACTGTACGATGAGCCGTACAAGATGCCGCGACCTCTGAAGGTTCGTCGCAAAATTTCCGCAGAGCGGACAGTGTTGAATAAGGCTTCACGTATTGGAATGTGTAATTTGACAGATGAGGAGCAGCGTCGTCATCCGATTAATAATCTGTCGGTTGATCAGTGGGAGCTTGAAGCTAATGGAGAGATTTGATAGACTTTTTGCTTCAAATAAATGATCGTGTATGACGGTTTTCATGCGCCGTGTTCCACTATTAGGGACATTTCGGGCGTATTTGATGTTTTTGTGGATATGTGGCAGAAATACTTCTGTTTGTCGTCATTTCCTGTTATTTGTTGCTGCCAGTGAAACGGCTGTATGATGCCGAGGGCAAAAAGAATTGGTTCAAAAGAGTGACCAGAAGGAGATTTTCCATTTAAATTTGTATTTTGTTCCATTTTTAGGGCAACCCTCTTGTACCTCACGAGTAGAGAGGAGGTAGGAGCATCCCCACCGGTACGTGATCAAATTATCAAATAACAACACTTGGCATGCTTTTTCTGGCATTTGGTTGGCTCCCTGATTCTTGGTTGTTTGGGTATTTGGTTATTTGATAGTTCGAAAAAGGCATTCCCACCGGTGAGAACCAAATACAGTACAGTCCCATCATACTCAGGGCCAGTCCTAACAGGCGCTTTTCTTTTCTTTTTTTTTCTTCAACCAGTTGCGGTCACGCTATTGGCCGGGTCATTTCATTAAATTAATCGCA